CCTATGAGGTTTATCCGAGGCGCGATTATTGCTAGTTGAAAACTTTACCCAATACCCCGCCTTGACGACTTGAAATATAGTCGGCAATGGCAATTTTTGACGGTCTCTACGGAGGCTGAATATTATGTTATAACAAATAAGTAGACTTTTGCTCATCTGAAAGTATGAACTGTAGGCATTTAAGTTCTGCAAACAATTAGTTACTTGCATTTCAGTGACTACAGCCTCTTGTTAATTGTTTTGGTTTCATGACGTAATGGCACAATCATTTGTGCCTGCGCTAAAGTTATTTAAGTTTGCCACAATTTAGCTCTGTAATGTGTAGTAGAAGATAAATGGACCAATAAATGTCACTCATTATCTGTTCCATTTGTATGTAACACATATGATCATTTTCAACATTGTCTGTTTTATACTAAACCAAATCTCATTATTTGTCAAGGTAATGACTGTGATGTTTTGAATTGCATTTCTCAATTATCAAAGTCTTAGTGAAAGAGAAGCAATGTTTACAACCATGAGTTAACATGATAGGGAGTGAATAGAGTTCTAAGAGTTCTTAGCCTATGAGGTTTAACCAAGGTGCAATTATTGCTAGTTGAAAACTTTACCTAATACTCTGCCATGACAACTTGAAATATAGTTAGCAATGACAATTTTTGAAAGTCTCTATGAAGGCTGACTTTATAATGAAAATAATTACATATTTTTATGTTGTATCTGATTAATCTTAAAGTATTCAGAAAGTAGATGGATGTTTTGCACCAGTTAAAGCAGTCAGGATGTCTATAAAGCTTTGTAAATTGTGTATGTCTAACAGTATTTCTATTTCTTGAGTTCCACATTTGAAAACCAATTAACTGCTCTGAATCAGTTCACATTGTTTTATGAATGGATATCTTTTCAGACATTTTTAAATGTTTGGATGACTTATAAATATTTTTGTTTAAACTCGTCAAAACAAGACAATTCTAGGTGTTTTAAAATTCCTGGTATTCTTGGTAAAAAAGAAAAAAAAAAAAAAAAAAAAA